GGGTTGTAGCTGCTTTCAGGCCTTACACTGAGCTGGCTTCTTCCCTGCTGATAGGATTGTCCTCCCTAGGAGACTTGGCATAGTGGAGATCCTTCTTTCCAACCAGCTGGTAGGTAGGCTTTGCTCCCTGGGGCCCCTCCCAGGCTCCACTCTCCAGCACCTTACTTCAGTCCATCTTTATTATTATTATTATTATTATACAGGATTTATATAGCGCCAACAGTTTGCGCAGCACTTTACAAAATGAAGGTAGACATTACAGTTACAATACAATTTGGTACAAGAGGAAACAGAGGGCCCTGCTTGTTAGAGCTTACAATCTAGGAGGAAGGGTTGAGTGATACAAAATGTAATAGCTGTGGGGGGATGAGCTGATGGAGGAAATAAAAGACAGTTTACTAGTTAGAAGCAGGATAGGTTTCTTTAAAGAGAAAGGTTTTCAGGGATTGTCTAAAGGTGGATAGATTAGGACAGGCATCACTAAATGGCGTGGCGGACCGAGTCACTATCCCATCCGGACTACCCATGCGGTCCCACCATTTAGGAGCCTTTTCTTCCCCCAGTCATCTCGCAATCATCCTCACAGAGCTGACAGCGGGAGGCAGGACTGTTCTGGATGGAGGGCGGGAGCTGCCTGAGGTTAACAAGCAGGTGATTGGTTGCTAGGATGAAGGGCAGTCTTAGCCAGTGGTGTATTTAGGTTTCATCATGCCTTAGGCAACACAAAAATTGGCTCCCCCATCACGGAGAGACCCTGACACTGACCAACACCTCCCTTCCCCACAAAGAGAGCCTGACATTGACCAACAACACCCCAGCCCCCCACCCAACCGAGAGAGCCTTCCACTACCTCCGCTGCCCATACACTGGCAACCCACTACCCTGGAAAGAGATAAGACACTCACCTTCACAGCTCTGGACATCTCTGGGAAGATGAGTCAGGCTCTGCATACACTATCAAGCAGCCTGCAACCTCTCTCAAATCCCACCTGGCTGCGTGTGTCCCTCCTTTCATACCTTCTTTCGGGGGGTGGCGCTGCCCACCTGAAAAGTGCTGCTGCCCCCCTGAAAAATGCCACCCTAGGCAAATGCCTTGTTTGCCTTGTGGTAAATACACCCCTGGTCTTAGCAATTAGTCACTCTCTGTCAATCACTAACTGTGTAAGGTAGGAGTGTGTGTGTGTGGGAAGGGGGGTGCAAAGTTAAAGGGGCTAGTGTGAAGGAGGGCTGATGTGAAAAGGAGGCAAGAACTGAATGTGGGTGGACTGAGGACTGAATGTGGGGAACTGAGGACAGTAATATTGAGGGACTGAGGACAGTAATATCGAAGGACTGAGGACAGTAGTGTGGGGGGGGGGGACATTAAAATTGAAGTGGAGGAGCTGAGAATTAAAATGTGGTGGGGCTGAGAGCATTAAAGTGGGGGGGCTGAGGACAGTAATGTGGGGGCTAAGAACTGCAGTGTGTGGGGGCTGAGGACATTAAAGTGGGGGGAGGGCTAAGAACTGTAATGTAGAGCAGAAGACAGTAATGTGGGGTGGTTGAGGAGATTAAAGTGGGTGGGGGCTGAGAACTGTAATGTGGGGATGAGGACAGTAATGTTGGGGGGAGGGCTGAGGACAGTAATGTGAGGGCTGAGGACAGTAATGTGTGGGGGCTGAGGACAATAATGTGTGGGGGCTGAGGACAGTAATGTGTGGGGGCTGAGGACAGTAATGTGAGGGCTGAGGACAGTAATGTGGGGGGGGGGGGGGCTGAGAACAGTAATGTGGGGGGGGGTGATGTAAAATGGGGTGGAGTACTTTGCAGTGAAGGTGAAGGGGGCAGAGGACAGTACTTTTGGGAGGGGGTTGATGTCAAGGAAGTGTGAGAACACTACTGTGAAAGGGGTGGAGGGGGGTGATGTAAAGGAGCAACTGAGGACACTCATGAAGAGGGGATCTTGCTGTGAATGAGGTGGGGACTGTGATGTGCAGTGGGGATTGGGGACACTGATGTAAGAACAGGCTCAGATCTGCATATGTGCATTTGGTGCACATGTTATGGGTAGGTCAGGCCATTCATTTTAATGGACTGCACTATGTGCGAGAAACACGAAAAGGTCTCCGACCCTTTTTTCAAAATTTTACTGCTCGGACCTCGGTTAATTTTAATTCAATACTCCTGGATTAGGAGATAGCTGGACAGATTGGGGTAAGGAGTTCGATAGGATAAGAGAAGCTCGGGAGAAGTCCTGGAGGCGAGCATGGGAGGAGGTGACACAGGAACTAGAGAGCAGAAGGTTTTGGGAGGATTGAAGAGAGCTGTTTGGTTGATATTTTGAGACCAGGTTGGTGATGTAGCTGGGGGAAGATTTGTGGATGGCTTTGTAAGTTGTTAGTATTTTGAATTTTATTTGTTGGGCGAGTGGAAGCCAGTGGAGGGATTGGCAGAAAGCGGTAGCAGACACTGAACGGTTGGTAAGGTGAATGAGTCTGGCAGCAGTATTGATGATGGACTGGAGGGGGGATAGCCTATGTAAAAGTAAGCCAATGAGGAGGAAGTTGCAGTAGTCGAGGCGAGAGATAACCAAGGAGTTAATTAGGAGCTTTGTGGTATCATTGGTTAACCCGTTGCCGCCCGGCCTATAGCCAGATGGTGGCCGGGCAAACACCTCGTCCCTCCGGGTGGATGCCATATGGCGTCCTTTCCAGACCGCACACTGCGCATGCCCGCATGGCCGCGCTGCGGCGCGATCTGTCACTGGCCGTGTACCTGCATTCGTTTTTTTTTTTTTAGGCTTTTCTCCTCTGTTTTTACCTGGTGATCTGGCCAGTAACACACCTCCTGTATTAGAGTGCCTCCATTGTGGATGAAGGAGAAAAAGGGGGTACCTTTGGACAGTCTGGGGGGAGGGGAGTGTTAGATGGACTAGCAGATTTAAATACAATAACAAATTGAAGCATAACTCCAGCTAATACTTTATAGGCAGTTGTTGCAAATTGTTTTTTTTTTCCTTTTGGGATAAAGGCTTTACATTAACAAAAACTGATCATTGTAAATACCCCTGTCTGTGTTATTATTATTATACAATATAACGGGAGAGAATATAAAGGGAGACAATACAGCAACAATACAGTTCAATACAAGAGGGGTAGGAGGGCCCTGCTCCTCGGAGCTTACAATCTAGGATATATGGTTTGCCTCATCTCTGTAACTGATACATCTACAGAGGAGCTTGTTCTTTTGAAAAAAACAATAGATTTACTGGCTGGATGACCAACTGCTAATAGAAGAGAAAGAAAGCCTAAAAAAGAAAACTAATGCAGTCCTCACATATAAGAATTGGTAAGCTACAATATAATAAATGTTTGCTTTTGGGTTTAATACCACTTTAATATCTTTTTGTTAGATTTTTTTGTTCATCCCACAGGCTGAACAAAAAAAATGTATATGTGCATGACCAGCTTAAAGGCTCCTAGCCCAATAAAATAAAGTAAATCCAGTACAGGTCACTGGGAACAGAGCAAACTATGGGCAGAACACATAAAGACTCCCAGGTGGCAGAAATGGGGAATTATGTCAGGGAGATTTTTCTGGTGGAATAATCAGCCCAGCTTACCATTCACCTGTAGACTGTAGGGGGCCCAGGTGGTAGGCACCCCAAAGGGAAGGCACAGTGATTAAAATTGCAGAGAGCGATCACAGAGACCGGCAGCATCTGGAGGATGGAAGGCAGAAGCAGCAAGAACTAGTAGCGGAAAGGATTCCCTAAGAACCTGTGTGTAGGATATTGTAATTATATATATATACATTATAGAGTGAGAACATCTACAACTACTAGAACCAAGTTATTATAGCTTTCTTTTAAATATATTAAAATACCATCTATTATATTCAGAGCACAAACAATTATACATTAGAATATACAATTTTTAACACTTTAAGTGTTAAACCCCAGACCCTGTATTCACTATATCTGGTCTCCCACAGTACACAGAACATGGAAATGCAATTATATTAGTAAATATAAACTGCTAAATACCTTTTCCTTTTAGCAGTTAGAGCAGTCTAGTGACTTATTTCAGTGTCCAGTCAAGCACATGTTAAAGCTTGTAGGAGGAGTTTTCATTTTGCTCTAGGAGAATGCAGAACCCCTGACCTCTGTCTGGACAGTGCTGCTTGGCCCTGTGCTGATCACATGCACTCTCCCAAGAAAAAAAAAAACCCTCTCTGGCAATACACACCAAACTGAGCATGTGCAGAGTGACTCCACATGATTTGTCTCATCAGAAGGTAAGAGAGAGAGAGGGAGCACGTATATTCACGTTATTGACCACGCCAGCATCCGACTAAGCTAGATGTGTTTTACACAGCAAAAGGATAGAATAAGGACACCGTACTATGTTAATTTATGCACAAGGGAACTTGCCTTACCTTTAATATGTTGGGCTAACCTGTTTTTGGATAAATATGTGGAAAGTCGGAGAGTTTCAGAGCAGGTTATTTGCAAATCTACCAACATTGTAAAATGCAAGTTTGTCTGATTATATTTGAAAGGGTCCTAAATATTCACGGGGTCCTTGTTTATGAGAAATAGCCTTTTTAAAGGGGGTGGAGTCTTTACCTATACAAGAAGGATAAAAAAAGGCAATTTTTCCTTTTACAATATGAGAAGTATATTGTAAATGGGTTTAAGCCATCTTAAATTCATAGTGTACGTGTTTATGGTTTCAAAGTGGGTATCATGTCCACCTTTGTACAAGGATGTTAACCACATGTCGCCCAGCCACTGTATAAATACGGCGGCAGGGCGGCACGGCTGGGCAAAAGCACGTTTTAAAATGTGCGTTTTGTAAACAGGTAGGGGGCGTACGCGAGGCGTGCCGCCGCCCTACCTGTCCCACCAATCACAGCCGCAGATGTCATTCGCCAGGTCACAGCTGGTCCTTACCGGCTATGTCCCGGCGATCGGCAGCAATCGCTGACAGAGAGCACAGCTGCAGTAGCTGTACTTTCTGTCAGTTCCCTGACAGCTCCAGGACAAGCTGATCGGGACAGAAGAGTTTCTCTCTCCGGATCAGCGGTGTTCCCTGCAGTACACACCCCCGCACCCTAGTAAAACACTCCCCTCACACAGTTAACCCTTTCCCTGAAAAATAAAGTTAACCCCTTCCTCCCCAGTGCCATTATTACAGTGTCAGTGTTTTTTTGTTTGCACTGATCACTGTATTGGTGTCACTGGGGATGTCAGTGACCCCAAGTCAGTACCCCCCAATGTCAGAATGTCCGCCGCAGTCCCGCCATAAGTCGCTGATCGTCGCCATAAGTCCCTGATCGCCGCCATAAGTCGCTGATCGCCGCCATTATTAGTATAAAAAAAACGAAAAATCCCAGTATCTTTCCCGCCATTTGTAAACGCTATAACTTTCACGTAAACCAATTAATTTACACGTATTGGGGGTTTTTTAAGCAAAGACATTTCGCAGAATACATTTTGGCAGAAATTTATGACTAAATTTGATTTTAAAATTTTTTTTACTGGACATGTTTTATAGCAAAAAGTCCAAAATATTGTTTTTTTTCCTCAAAATTGTCAGCCTTTTTTTTTATAGCGCAAAAAATAAAAACCGCACAGGCGATCAAATACCACCAAAAGAAAGCTCAATTTGTGGGGAAAAAAAGGATGTAAATTTCATTTATGTACCGTATTGCATGACCACGCAATTGTTCGTTAAACTAGCGCAGCGCTGTATAGCAAAAAAATGGCGTAAATTGCAGTATCTATACCACAGTTTGTAGACGCTATAACTTTCACACAAAGCAATCAATATACACTTATTGGGATTTTTTTGTACCAAAAACATGGAGCAGAATACATTTTGGCCTAAATTTATAACCAACTTTGAGTTTACTATATATTTTTTATAGCTGAAAGTAAAAAATATTGTTTTTCTTCAAAATTTGTGGCCTTTTTTTGTTTATAGCGTGAAAAATAAAAAGCACACAGGTGATCAAATACCACCAAAAGAAAGCTCTATTTATGTGAAAAAAAGGACATAAATTTCGTTTGGGGTGCAGCATTGCATGACCGCGCAATTATCAGTTGAATTAATGCAGCGCCGAGTAGCAAAAAGAGGCCTGGTCATTAAGGGGGGTAAATCCTCAGGAGGGCAAGTGGTTAAAGATTGCAGTTTTAGCATAAACAAGACAAGGACTATCTATTTAACTTTTTAATTAAAATCTATGCATGCGGCTGTTCTAGGCCAAGACGCATTGTTTGTAATTCATAAGATGTTCATAAAACCAACCAGATTGCTTGACACTGTGGTCAATGGGGAAAAGGTGTATATTAGGATAGGGTATTTTGACTGTATCATGAGGGTAGCATTGGGTATGTTGAAGGCTTCTGATCATTGTAGTATTTGCAATAAATGCACCCAATAAATGCAAGCCTCTCTGGAGAACCAAGTTGCTGCAGGAGAAAATCATTTCTTGGATAGAGGAGTTTTACATTACATATCAGCTGGCGAACACTTGCTTCAACAACAATAATTATATTCATCACTCCTCATCCTCCATAATTGGTATATGACAACACTGTGGAGCCTCTCCCTATGCTAGGCGCACTCTCCCTAAAAAGCAGGTTCCTGTCCCTAACCTAGCCACGCACAAAATGTGTGCCAACTGCAGTGAGCTAGTGCTTTTTATAAGCACTGCCCTCACTAAAGATGGCTGCAGGGTCATCCGGGTGGCAGTGTCCAATTGGACAGCAGCCCACTCAATGACATGTACGGAAGCCTATGAGGAATGTGCATTTCTCCTTCCTTCACTCTCCCTGCAGGTTGGCTGCAACAGTGCCAACTATGAGAGGGGGGGGGGGGTCACATACTGCACATACCTGTCTATGACTAAAGTATAACTTTGGGGTGGAATTACCCTTTAATAATGTATGTAATCAATTTTACTAAATACATAATAGCTGCAGGTGTCTTTTAAATTTATCCAGAGTTCTGATTTAATTACTTACACCTAATTGACAATTTATACTCCCAGTGGTGCTCGACTTTGTGGATACGAGTCTTGCAAAGTACCGTATACCTGACTTTGTTCTCGATAGAAAGGAGAAACTTTTACTGAAAACCAAGTAAAGCCAAAGACATATTTTTAACCAAAGTTAAAACACATAAAACAAGGATGAATCCCTTCGGGAGGGGAAAAAAAATCACATCAAAGTTTCCACGTTTAATATTGTGCGGGACTGCGTTTTCATTTTGTTATGTAGCAAAAAGCTCAAATTCTGAAGTAGTATTATATCACAACAGCTGTTGAATAAAATTCTTTGTAGGACAAGTCTACCGGATAACATTTCTCCAGAGGGCGGAAGAAATTAATATTTGTGAATCCTGAATGAAATTTTCACAGCCCATAAGAAAGCAGGGCTTTGTCAGATACCTGTTAGAAATCTGAAATGAATGTACCTGCGAGGAACGGCCGGACCAGATGGAGTGCGGCGCTAAAGGCGGCTTTCCGTTAAGAGCGATCCACTGAACAGGCTTATCCACTTTCAAGCTGCCAAATAAAAATTTGACTTTTATGACATGGGTTATAAAGAAGGTAACTTTACCAGCTGTTTGTAAATAAAGCAAATAAATAGATGTGCAGTAGGTGGTAGTCTAGTAGAAACTATTTTTTTATAAAAAAATAGATAAAACCAAAAATAATAAATTAAGAAGACTACAGGCTAAGTACAGGCTAAGTACAGCCCATGGTAAAAATTAAGTATTTGATGGCAAACTATAGTAAATCCAAATCCAAAAACAAAAATGTAATATATTGTAGCTTACCGGTCTTTAGATGGCTGGCAATTGTTTTCATTTTTCAGGGTTTTATCCTCCTATTTTCATCTGGTGACCCTGAGCACAGTGGTATGCATATAAGGGGACCTCCCCCAGGTACAAGGAAAGAATACAACATTTTTTAAATGTTTTATTATATTTGTATTATTTATTATTTGTATTTTATTGTATGTATAATATACAGTACATATAGGACAGATGGAGCATCAAGGTGGGGTGTATTATTGAAAAGCAAAATAAGAAAATAACACCCATTATAGAAATAATGAGGTCAACATCCTGATCCTCAATCCTGGAAAATAAGGTATACAAAGATAAGGGTCACAAACTTTTTGCATGTGTATATATGTAAGAAATGTAATAAACACTAATACATATACATTTTTAGAGGTGTGTAATTGTTCTGTATATCATCATTGTGTTGAGTAGGGAGCCATCTATTGGGTATTCACTGCAATCGAACTTGTTTTTATTATTCCTTTCAACAAAAATAAAGAGTTTATGTTAAGAAGTGAGAAAAGAGAGTATTTTGTTAATAGAGACTTTCCATAAACCACTGCAGAGCCAGTTTAGCTTCCTGAAGAACGCCAGTGAAGGTCTCCTCCATTCTCCCTCTTATATACATACTATATATATATATATAGTAGCAAGGAAATGTCATGGATGGACCTCTGTTTCCACAATAAGAGCAAAGGTCCTTTTCTGTGGGATACTGGCAATGGACAAGCTTTTCTAGTAATTAAAGCAGAGTTCTACTCACCCTGTAAAAAAATAAAAGTCAGCAGCTACAAAAACTGTAGCTGCTGACTTTTAAAAAACAGCCACTTACCTGTCCCTCGTGTGTGTCCCCCGCAACCCATTTCACAGACTGTCCTGTATTCCAGGAGGCCAGCATCTTCAGTGTGGGCACCCGGCTGTGCAGCTTGCGGCTTCACAGCCGTGTACCCACTGCGCATGTGCGAGTAGCTCTGCACTTCATGAATGGTCCTGTAGTCTTCTGGGACCTGTCACGTGTCCCAAAAGACTACATGGAGGGAGTACACCTTCTGCTTCCGATTGCCTAGGCGATCGGACCGGAAGTGGGAGCAGGTATCTGTCAAATTCGGGTACCCGCTCCCCCCCACCCCCAAAGGTGCCAATCCTTAATGGGGAGCGGGGAGCAGGACTTAAAGCGCAACTTCCCCTTTTGGGTGGAGCTCCACTTTAGGATTTACCTGACAAATGTGAGGTCCATTTGCTGGCTGGGATATGAATATAAAGTAATTGTATGTAATATATCATATTTTCCTGACCAAAAAAAAAAATTAAATGACAAATGGTGTTTTAGGCGTAGATTACTGTACATCAATAAAAAAGGATAATATGATGACAAGGAAAGTAATGCATTTTTTCATGGCAGCTTTAAAGTGTTCTTGAAGTAAATCATTTTTTTAAATATTGGATGGAGCAGGGAAAGGTTTAGAACCCCTGTAAGGTTTCATTGCTGTCAGTGTTGCCAAGTTGGCAGAGTCATACTTTCTACTTGTCTGGGGACCACTGTTACCAAATTACATTTTTTTCTCAATGTGGGAAATTTTACTGTTGGGGAAATGATTGGAAAACCTGATGTAACATAGTGATAACCATTCCTTACTTTTAAAAAATTGCATTTAAATATACTTTAAGTACTTAAGACAAGAAAAAGAGAGGGAGTATAAGCCTTGTTCATTACCACAAGTAGCATTTATTAGCAGAAACAAGCTTCCATAAAGGTGAAATGCTTCAGATACAAAAAAAACAATCCAGTACAGATTCCCAAATGATGCCCATCAAATGGAAACGGAGCTTACATGTTTTGAGGGCTGTACCATCTTCATCAGAGCTATATGACTTACGCTGCCTTGGATGTATAAATATTCCTCCTGTACTGGAGACTAAATGCATACCCCGCCTCACCTCACCTTGAGGGGGAGGGGCTGCCATAAAACAATTAACCCTTGCCCAAGGGCAGACTGACCATTTGGAAACTCGGGCACTGCCCGAGGGCTCGGGGTCAGTAGGGGGCCCCATGAGATGCCCCTGGTACCTTTTTCATAGGCTTTTTTGAGTTTGGGCAAGGACACAGGGGCCCCATGATCCCCTATTGCCCAGGGGCCCCATGAGTTGTCAGTCCGCCCCTGCCCTTGCCTATCATTGAGCAATATGCCTCTCTAGTTTTAGTGTTTTTGTTTTGGTTTTCCTTGAGCACTTTACCCCTGTGGTTGTTTCTTGTCTTATGTA